CGGCGCGGTTATGCTGCCAGATTGGATCACATTTATGTAACTCGTAGGATCACAGTGGAACATGTGCTGATGGTAGACCGATTTTTTTGGACCATCATGCAGTTTTCGCAGAGGTGGCATGGGATGGTATGGTTCACCGGTATGCAGGTTATTGGAAATTGAATGTGAGGTTACTTCAGGGGGAGAAGGGGGGACTGTCATTCAGGGACTGGTGGAGGCACCTCTGGGATGCATGCACCCAGGAGGAGGATGTATTGGGATGGTGGGAGAAGAGCGCTAAACCGCGGATTAAGGAATATTATCAGCATAGAGGATGGGATGAGGCATGGTGGAGGTTTGGTTTACGGAAATACCTTGAGGGGCAGCCCAATGATTGTTATGAAGGGGAAGGGGGTTGTAGGCATGGGGTTATAGAGGATCTAAGGGGAAGATTGAAGGATGTACAAAATTCTCGCTTCAATGCAATACGTGTGAGGGGTGGGTTAGAGGAGGTACTATGGGGAGAAACTGTCGGGATGTGTTTTGCGGAGGTTCAGGGAAAGGTAGCAGATGACCACGATTATGGGATTAGAGGTATGTAAAGGGATGGGGGGGAAATAGGGTGGGACAAGTACTAAGTACCACTGATGGTAAACTATGCGGATTTTTGGTTTAGGGAGAATTTAAAGCAAGGGGAGGGTGGAGGAAGGGAGGGGGAGATTATAGGGAAAGGAATTCTGGGAGTTTTAGGGGAGGAGGAGAAAGCGGTGCTAGGGGGTACGATCAGTGAGCAGGAGGTGGGGGAGGCAGTAATGAGCTTGAGTAGGGAAAAGGCACTGGGGATTGATGGAATCCCTAATGATTTCTATATTGCAAATTGGGATAGTATGAAGGGAGAGTGCTGGGCGAGACGCAGGGTACGGGGGTAGTTGTTTTGGTTCACAAGGGAGGACCCTATAGGTGCCTATAGGGCGATCTCCCTCATGTGTTCTGATTATAAGCTTTTTGCGAAGGTATTAGGTAATCACATGAAGGTGATTGACCTTGTTCTACATAGAGGACAGTATGGGGTACCAGGACGAAGTATGCGTGAGGGGCATGGGCGAATTAGGGATTTTGTAGAAAACAGACAGGGGGGGAGGGTGTCTTGGGGATCGATTGGAAGCAGGCGTATGACTGTGTAGATAGAAGTATGTTGCGGAGTATTTTACAAAGACAGGGATTTGGGGACGAGATTGTACAGTAGGTGAATACTTTGTATACGCCTGTGTGGGTCAGAGTACAGGTTAATGGTAAGTTGGGGTTGCCAGTGCAGTTGGGGAGGGGTTTGCAACAGGGTTGTCCCTTGTCCCAAATCCTCTTTGCATGCATGCAAGACCCCTGTTATAGGCTTATTAAGGAAGGAGCGTGGGAACGGGGAGGGGAGGGTCCTGGCGGATCTGGGATTGTGGGGTATGTGGATGACACCACAGTTTTGGTGAGAGGGGAGATCGGACTGGGGAACGTAGGATGTATAATAGATCCTTGGCGGGGCTACTGGGATGAGGGTCAATGAAGCAAAGTTACTGGAAGTAGGTATGTGGGAAGGGGGGGAGGAAGAGTATGGGTGGAATGTTGTGGATAGAATTAAGATCTGTGGGGTTGTGTACATGGTTGATGCTGGGAAGGCACAGAGGGTAAATTCAGGGGAGGTCACGAGTAGAGCATTGGGGAGGATGCGTGGGTAAAGGGTCGGGGATCTAACATTGCAGCAGCGGGTGGTGGTGGTAAACACTCTTGTGTATAGTAAAGTGTGGGGAGTAGCGGAAGTCTATCCACTGAGGTCGTGCGATATTCAGGAACTGGAGAGGGGGGATTTTGAGCTATGTATGGGGTTATGGGCGGCTGTGGCTATGGAAGGTGGTGGTGATGACAGGCGTGTGGCAGGGTGGGCTGAGTCTCATACCTTTGGACACGCGCACGAAGGCAGTATGTGAAGCAGCAGTACCCGAGGGCGGGAGCGGTCATGGAGGATGTGACGAAATGGTGGAAGGGGAAGGCGTTGTTGGTGTGTGAAGATACGGTGCATAATTTTTTAACAATCCGGGATGCAAGGAAAGTAAGGGTAAGTAGGCTTGGGAGGATGGGTAGGCAGGGCGAGGCGATTCAGGGAGCAGATACATACCCGATGTATGATTGGAAGGGCATTTGGGAAGACTTTCGAAAGATTAGATTAAAGCCGAAGGTTCGTGAACTGGTATATAGGTTCTTGATGGTAATTCTTGCTTCAAGATCTGTGCTATATAGGACGAGTTATGTAGGTGCGGGGAATTGTCCGCGTTGTGGGGAGGAGGAAACTGCTTTCCATGCTGTATATTTTTGTGAAAATTTGGGGGTTGTAAGGACATGGTTAGTGAGGGTCATAGGTATAGTGGCGAGGCGGGAGGGGGGGGTAACATTTCGACTTTGAGGGCTTTGCATTTTGATGTGGGTGGAGTAACCATGGACGTCTGGCGGGCAGTGATGTATGTGGTGGCAGATTTTTTGAACGTTTCTTGGGGTATGCCGGAGGTGGAGGGGTGATTGTAGGGTGCGGACGCTTGCGGCGAGTGTGTACCGTATGGTTTACAGGAACAGGCTACTATATGGGAGGGTGTGGGTAAATAGTTTTCCTTGGGGTTATCGTAATCTGACGGTAAGTGTTTTGTTAGGGTTGGGAGTAGGGTAGAGCTGGGATGGGTTGATTTCCCGGCAACTGTCACTTTTGTTTGTTTTTGGGATTAGTGGAGTTTGGAATGTGGAATAAGTGTGTTGGGTAGTGGAGAATATGGGTGTGCAGTTGTTAAGCATGAGGGGGGGTATAGTGGGGAGGGTGGACTGGAGACACATGGTTAAGAGATGGGTTTTGACTTTAGACTTCAGGTATGGGCTTGAGTATGAAAGGAGTGTGCTTGTGATTAATATAGATAGTATCGAGTCAGGGGCTGGCAGGGGGGGGGGCTTTCTGAAGTGTCAGGGGCCAGGATGGTTTTTAATGCTTGTAGTACGGCACTGCATATGTACTACTGTGTGTGTTATGTATGGTTTCAGGAGTTTTCCTCCCTGTGTGGGATTGTTTTACAATTGTTACATGCTGTTTAGGTGGGGTGTACAATGGTCTTCCTGCGAGGTTAGACACTTCATTAGGTGTTGGGTTTTTTATGTGGCGAGTGAAACGTGTCCTGGTTAGGGTATTCACAGGAGACCTTTATTTGATGCATAAAGATAGGGAAGTAATATGAAGGCCCAATGTTCCCACTTTGGTTTATGCTTATAGGTCCAAAGGAAATCTTTTATAACCATTATATTTTTTGTTTCAGTGAATCCCGTCGTCAGAAACCTAACTGTTACAAGGTTACGGGATAGGCTCATATAATGTACTTACTACTTAATTTGTATTTCTTTTATTTTTACAAGAATAGCTACTTCTTTGTTTGGTTCTTAATGTTTTTTTGTGTGTTTTTGTAATCGCTGTACCACACTTATGACATTGTGTATTTTATGTGGTGGTATTGTATGCCAAGTGGAAGTTATAGCCTTTACCTTTGTATTATGATTTACGAACATGGTGTATCATTGTAGAATTTTGTGTTTTATGTTCATTAGTGATGCAAGTTTTCATACTTTTGGCTAGTATTGTATATATGAGTTAGGTTAACGAAAAATTTTATTGTGCACTCTTTGCAGTCTTATTTTACTTTGTACTACTCCGATAGGGTGATGGTTTTATCTGGGGTAGGGGGGAGTTTAGTTTGAAGGGTGTTATGGAATTAAACACTATATTACCTTGTTCTGGTATCTAAGATGTTCAAGTCATGGTTTTGGATATCACATTTTATCTTAGTAGAGAATTGTTCAAATTTATTTTCGTTTTTTTTTTTTTTTTTGGTGCCATTTCATGTGATGTACTGTCAGATTTCTACAGAGTATGTGTTGCAGTACTCTCCTTAAGTTGGTTATAGTTTGTGTTTTCCTTTAGATACATTTTTATAACTATGTGCATCGTATATACAAGTTTCTTTTAATATATAAAAAAAAAAAAAATCCAATGTTGTACATTGCATTTGGTCTTAAAAAGGATACTATAGAAAATAAGCCACAGTGAGTGACGTTCTTGGGTTATCCTGGGTTAACACTCCTTCCTATTCCAAATAAATTCACCAGCATCACTCAAGCAGCTCGAGTAGTTATAATCCATATTTAGCAAGTTCATTTAGGTACAGTTACATTAGTCAATTATTTCATGGGGTTCTTGTAATATCTTAATATTTAAAGCCTAGCAGTAAGTTAGAGTAGAAATTAGTTATGGATTATAACCTTACAAGTTAAAACAGCTAAGTAACTCAACTGTATGAAAATCAGTTACAATAAAATGAGACAATAGGAATAATTTTTTTTTTTTACATGAACATTAGGGGATCAGTCACTTGAAATAATTTATTCATTTTAATCAGTGGTAAGCGATAGACGTATAGGAATCCCACAATATAACGACCCCAATGGAAATAAGTCAGTCTGAATTTTTTGGGGGGTTAACCTGGGTAATTTACACTATGTATGATAATTGCACCTATATGTACCTGTGTAAATAAACTTACTGGAAGGAATTCAGGTTCAATCGAAGGAAGGGGAGCACAAGTCAAGTTCCTTGGATCTAGAGCCCCTGGCTGGCATCTAGGCACCTCCCCTGAGGGATGAACTGTCACAGAAATATAAAAAAAACCTGCTTCATAGTGGTTGGCTTCATTACGCTACCTTATTATATATCTATACAATATAAACGTGTGTTCTTGGCATCTATATGCCCTTAAGATCAATGTAAAAAAAAATTATACTTGTCAACGCAAATAAAAACTTAAATCAAAATTTGGACACTAAGTGCGGGATAAAAATTCCTATATTTACCCACAGCGGCTGCCTCTATCACCCCCATGAGGCACTGGCACACCCATCATGACCTACTTGCAATATATATACACACAGTAAAGCTAAAAATACTATACCAATGGAGAAACCTATGGTTAAAAATAGTGGGGCTGTGTAGAGAGGCACAGCGACCGCCTCTGCACTCTACACAACACCAACTGATATTTATGAATTATTTCTCTAATATATTGACTAATAAGTCTAGAAATTCTAACGTAGTAATCTGGTGGGAGATTATTAGTTTATTTTGATGGGAAAATATTGTGTTCGTTCGGTTTTTGGGGATTAAAAAGTAATTTGTTGGAAGGGAGCAGAAGTGTTAGTTGTTGGCGGACGCTGCTTCCCCCCCCCCCATTCCAAACTACCAACCCCCGATCCCCCCCCAAACTTCTACTTAAATCACAAGCCAAACATGATGCCCTAAACTGTATTGATAACTTAGTCAAACAGCACACTCTTTCACAAATTATTTACGTCAATACTTATGTTCATCAATCCACTGGTGCAGCTGGTAGTGCTGCTGCTGCTGTCAGAGTGATGGTTCTCTTAAAGAAATTGGAGCACACATCAATATCTGCGCCTCTACCCTTCAGACAGAATTGTTTGCCATACTCCTTGCACTCAAATGCGTCCATGTATCTAAGGTTGACACTTAAATTGTAACCGATTCTCTGTCACCCATAAACCCCTCAAGGAAGGTTCCTTGATGTTGGTGAGGGGCTCTTGATTTAGGGAATTGGATCTGTGCTCCAGTTCCCCGAATTAAGCCTGAATGCCTTCCACACCCCCCCCCCAGGCGCTGTATAATCCTCCGGGTTTAGCGCTTCCTCCTTGATTATAATAATAATAATGTCATCCATAAATGCTCTCAACTCGTTAGGTATAAATTGTGGCATGCTTGTGTCAGAAACCAGACACATGTATGGTAGGATTGTGTCAGTAGCCTGAAACAGGTATAGTAGGATTGTCAGTAGCCTGAAACAGGTATGGTAGGATTGTGTCAGAAGCCAGACACAGGTATGGTAGGATTGTGTCAGTAGCCAGACACAGGTATGGTAGGATTGTGTCAGTAGCCAGACACATATGCAACAGTTAGACAACTTTATTCCGAAACGTTTCGCCTACACAGTAGGCTTCTTCAGTCGAATACAGAAAGTAGGCAGGAACAGTAGAGATGTGAAGACGATGTAATCAGTCCATCACCCTTAAAGTCGTAGAATTTGAGGTTGTCAGTCCCTCGGCCTGGAACTGAACTTCTCCAGGCCGAGGGACCGACAACCTCAAATTCCACGACCCCAAGGGTGATGGACCGATCACATCGTCTTCACATCTCCACCGCTCCCGCCCACCCCCCGCATTCGACTGAAGAAGCCCACTGTGTAGGCGAAACGCTTCGGAACAAAGTTGTCCAACTGCTGCATATGCGTCCCACCCAACAACCTGTCGGTACTGTATACTATTTTGATGTTCAGCTTATATACCGTTGGCAGGAGAGGTGAAGCAGTCAGAGGCAGTGTAACACTTATTCAATGTTGAAGTAGGTCGTGCCCAAGAATTAGGCAAGCGAAGAATTCCCAAGTATTAAGATCCCAAGAAGATGCAGTGTCTGACAGCTTTGTAGATGAATGGTTCAGAGAACCGACATGTTGATAAATTAGACATACCTGTGTAGGCGAAACGTTTCGGAATAAAGTTGTCTAACTGTTGCATATGTGTCTTACCTAACAACCTGTCGGTATTGTATACCATTTTGATGTTCAGCCAGACACAGGTATGGTAGGATTGTGTCAGTAGCCAGACACAGGTATGGTAGGATTGTGTCAGTAGCCAGACACAGGTATGGTAGGATTGTGTCAGTAGCCAGACACAGGTATGGTAGGATTGTGTCAGTAGCCTGAAACAGGTATGGTAGGATTGTGTCAGTAGCCAGGCACAGGTATGGTAGGATTGTGTCAGTAGCCAGACACAGGTATGGTAGGATTGTGTCAGTAGCCAGACACAGGTATGGTAGGATTGTCAGTAGCCAGACACAGGTATGGTAGGATTGTGTCAGTAGCCAGACACAGGTATGGTAGGATTGTGTCAGTAGTCAGACACAGGTATGGTAGGATTGTGTCAGTAGCCAGACACAGGTATGGTAGGATTGTGTCAGTAGCCAGACACAGGTATGGTAGGATTGTGTCAGAAGCCAGACACAGGTATGGTAGGATTGTGTCAGTAGCCAGACACAGGTATGGTAGGATTGTGTCAGTAGCCAGACACAGGTATGGTAGGATTGTGTCAGTAACCAGACACAGGTATGGTAGGATTGTGTCAGTAGCCAGACACAAGTATAGTAGGATTGTGTCAGTAGCCAGACACAGGTATGGTAGGATTGTGTCAGTAGCCAGACACAGGTATGGTAGGATTGTGTCAGTAGCCAGTCTCAGGTATGGTAGGATTGTGTCAGAAGCCAGACACAGGTATGGTAGGATTCTGTCAGTAGCCAGACACAGGTATGGTAGGACTGTGTCAGTAGCCAGACACAGGTATGGTAGGATTGTGTCAGTAGCCAGACACAGGTATGGTAGGATTGTGTCAGAGGCCAGACACAGGTATGGTAGGATTGTGTCAGTAGCCAGATTCAGGGATGATAGGATTGTGTCAGTAGCCAGACACAGGTATGGTAGGATTGTGTCAGAAGCCAGACACAGGTATAGTAGGATTGTGTCAGAAGCCAGACACAGGCATGGTAGGATTGTGTCAGAAGCCAGACACAGGTATGGTAGGATTGTGTCAGAAGCCAGACACAGGTATGGTAGGATTGTGTCAGAAGCCAGACACAGGCATGGTAGGATTGTGTCAGAAGCCAGACACAGGCATGATAGGATTGTGTCAGCAGCCAGACACAGGTATAGTAGAATTGTAGACAGTAGAGTCAGAGTGCACATGCTGTGGATTCCATCTCACATTGGTCTTCAGATGCATGACAAAACTGAGAAACTGGCTTAGCTGTATACTTTCGAAGAGGTGGTAGATTACCATCTTGGCTTGTCAGGTAGCAGTTTGAGAACAATAATAAGAAAAGAACTTCAACTTAATTTTTTTTTTGACTTAAGACTCAGGGAGACTGACACCAGTCAGTCCATCTATCATCATTCTATCATGCAGGAAGGCCACATATCTATGGTGCATCCAACAAAATAAGCAGACTCTTGGATGTCACTACCGCCCGGCTCCGGCTGGGTTACAAGTATCTTTGGCAGGTTAAATCACCACCACCAGATGTAGACCAAACGAAATGCAAACTTTGGCAGATGGACTATTGTCACACCCTGCGTCATAAGGTGTCAGTTTAGCGCCTTAATTAAGACAGCCAGGGGTCTACTGGTAGTGACAATTTGTATATACAGATAGTTTTAATAAAAATTTGAATAATATTTTTCAAAATGTAGTGTAAAGCACCCCTCTGGCAAGACAGTGATGGAGTGAATGATGAGTTTTTCTTTTGTGGGCCACCCTGCCTTGTTGGGAATCAGCCGATGTGTTAATAATAATAATAATAATAAAAAATAAAATTATTTAATATTTAACTTAAGGAGTTGTATCAACAACGACCACCTGACAATACTGTAACTTTTATTTAGTTATTTTTTCCAGGTGAGTTCTTCACGAAGAGCCTGCCAATTAATTTTGCTATATTTGTGGCGAATACTCTTTGCAAAAACAAAGAAAAAACATCACAGATTTTGTGAAACAAGCTTATCTTGGTAATTCTGGAGTGGCGCTTGGAGAACAAGACAAATCTTGGGCTTCCCATATGGTTTCCAAAACCTGTGTAGAATGCTTACGACAGTGGAAAAATAGGCAAAGGAAAAGTTTAAACATGACTCACGAAATCGTAATGACACGATTGCAAACAAACCATACCACGGGCGGGGTTAGAACCCGCGATCAGAGTCAAAACTCCAGACGTTGCGTCTGGAGTTTTGAGACTCTCTGATCGCGGGTTCTAACCCCGCCTGTGGTATAGTTTGAAAAGTTTAAACTTGGGTGTGACTATAGAGTCGAGAACGCCAAAAATAACCATCACAACGACTGTTATTTCTGTATAGTGAATGTAAAAGGTTTCAAATGATACAAGAAAGCCGAGTGGGAATATCCTGATTTGGAGTCAGGAAAGTGATGTGCGTCACACAGCGAAGACGTTACTACGAAGACGTTACTATACCAGACCTTCCCGTTGTCAGATGTTGAAGAAACTCAGGGTTTAGGATGTAACACAGGTGATAGCAATGGAAGTAAATATGAAGTAAGTATTTCAACACTCCGACAGTTCTCCCAAGAAGAACTCAGTGATCTGATACGCGACCTCAGTCTGTCAAAGTAAGCATCTGAACTTTCAGCATCCTGACTAAACGAAAAGAAGTCTACAACAAGAAGTCAGTGGAAGAGTTTAGGACAACTAAGAAGTTAAAATAATAGCTTATCGGACAAGAGAGGTTGAATTCCTTCCGGAGAATTTGGTTAACACAAGCCTGTCTGATGTTATCCTGACGCCAAATGACTTTGAACAGGCGATAAATGACATGCCCATGCACTCTGCCCCAGGGCCAGACTCGTGGAACTCCGTGTTCCTCAAGAACTGCAAGAAACCCCTATCACGAGCTTTTACCATCCTATGGAGAGGGAGCATGGACACGGGGGTCGTCCCACAGTTACTAAAAACAACAGACATAGCCCCACTCCACAAAGGGGGCAGTAAAGCAATAGCAAAGAACTACAGACCGATAGCACTAACATCCCATATCATGAAAAGCTTAGAAAGGGTCCTAAGAAGCAAGATCACTACCCATCTAGAAACCCATCAATTACACAACCCAGGGCAACATGGGTTTAGAACAGGTCGCTCCTGTCTGTTCAACTATTGGATCACTACGACAAGGTCCTAGATGCACTACCTGGAGAGGCTTTGCAAAAGCCTTCGATAAGTGTGGCCATGGCGTAATAGCGCACAAAATGTGTGCTAAAGGAATAACAGGAAAAGTCGGTCGATGGATCTATAATTTCCTCACTAACAGAACACAGAGAGTAGTAGTCAACAGAGTAAAGTCCGAGGCAGCTACGGTGAAAAGCTCTGTTCCACAAGGCACAGTACTCGCTCCCATCTTGTTCCTCATCCTCATGTCTGACATAGACAAGGATGTCAGCCACAGCACCGTGTCTTCCTTTGCAGATGACACCCGAATCTGCATGACAGTGTCTTCCATTGCAGACACTGCAAGGCTCCAGTCGGACATCAACCAAATCTTTCAGTGGGCTGCAGAAAACAATATGAAGTTCAACGATGAGAAATTTCAAGTACTCATATGTGGTAAACACGAGGAAATTAAATCTTCATCAGAGTACAAAACAAATTCTGGCCACAAAATAGAGCGAAACACCAACGTCAAAGACCTGGGAGTGATCATGTCGGAGGATCTCACCTTCAAGGACCATAACATTGTATCAATCGCATCTGCTAGAAAAATGACAGGATGGATAATGAGAACCTTCAAAACTAGGGATGCCAAGCCCATGATGACACTCTTCAGGTCACTTGTTCTATCTAGGCTGGAACATTGCAGCACACTAACAGCACCTTTCAAGGCAGGTGAAATTGCTGACCTAGAAAATGTACAGAGAACCTTCACGGTGCGCATAACGGAGATAAAACACCTCAATTACTGGGAGCGCTTGAGGTTCCTGAACCTGTATTCCCTGGAATGCAGGCGGGAGAGATACATGATTATATACAGCTGGAAAATCCTAGAGGGACTAGTACCGAACTTGCACACGAAAATCACTCACTACGAAAGCAAAAGACTTGGCAGACGATGCAACATCCCCCCAATGAAAAGCAGGGGTGTCACTAGCACGTTAAGAGACCATACAATAAATGGTTTTTAGGATTTGATGTGCTGTTGGAGTGTGAGCAGGGTAATGTTTATGAAGGGATTCAGGGAAACTGCAGGCCGGACTCGAGTCCTGGAGATAGGAAGTACGGTGCCTGCACCCTGAAGGAGGTGTTAATGTTGCAGTTTAATATCTGTATTGTAATTGCGCCTCTGGCAAGACAGTGATGGAGTGAATGATGGTGAAAGTTATTCTTTTTTCAGGCACCCTACCTTGGTGGGAAACGGCCGGTGTGCTAATAATAATAATAAAAAGAAGTTCTGGTTAAATGGAGATGCAGACTTCCTTCTGTGAAGACGTGACTAGTGTGCACTCCGTTCATAGCTACCTGAGATTGTGAAGCTGGCTTCCCTCGACTATGAGCAGCTATATCTTCAGCTTCAGGCAGAATTAATGGAAGCAAGAGGAGATATGTGCAAGGATTATTCCCTGAACAACGTCGTCGATGATCGGTCCGTGGTTGGATCCCCGGCATAGGTGGGCATGTTTCCTTACACCTGCTGTTCGTGTTCACCTAGCAGTAAGTAGTTACCTGGGTGCTAGTTGACTGGTGTGGGTCGTCCTCTAGGGGTCAAGATTAAAGGACCACAATGGAAATAAGACAAGAGAATCCTCCGGGTTATCCTGGGTAACGAACCCTCTGGGTTAAAAATCTCAACAAAAGCGTTTCTTAATGTTTCATACCGTGCCGGAGATCGAACCAGGGACACTCAGCATGTGAGCTGAGTGCGCTATCAACCGAACCACAGGACTTATAAAATCACTCGGCTGACAAAAGATATACTGAAAACACTGACCCTCAGTGGCACTGCCAGGAAGAATTTCGGTTTTAGGGCATGAAAATAATATGCTGAAAAAATCAAAGCAATCGTTTTTTTAAAACATATGACTACCAGTACGTATGTGGAATGTCTTCAACTATTATGCTTTTGTGGTCCCTGGTCAATATAGTGCAGTGAAAATTAGCTATTAATTGAAGAATAATAAGTATTTCCATCCGTGCCCCGTTAGTTTCCCTTGGATGGGTCTCCCGTGCCCTCCCCCCCCTCACATCTGACCCACTTCTCACTGCTCTCCTCCTTACATACGAACAACAAACACGAAGTTCAGATACTACAAGCCAGAGAAAGAAAGATTAACAGGAATAATATTTGTTTTTAGTATTCATTCACTCGAAAACAAGATTGAAACAAAAAAGTGGGGAACAGAGTCATCCCTAGACATTATAACTCTTACAGAGACAAAATGGGAATATGGTCACAGCTGGTTAGACAGACGAATCAAGAGGATGTCAAGAAATACTTATTCAGCTTCAGCACGTTAAGAGACCATACAATAAGTGTCAGGGGTCCGAGACTGTTCAACTGCCTCCCAGCATACATAAGGGGGATTACCAACAGACCCCTGGCAGTCTTCAAGCTGGCACTGGACAAGCACCTAAAGTCGGTTCCTGACCAGCCGGGCTGTGGCTCGTACGTTGGTTTGCGTGCAGCCAGCAGTAACAGCCTGGTTGATCAGGCTCTGATCCACCAGGAGGCCTGGTCACAGACCGGGCCGCGGGGACGTTGACCCCCGAACTCTCTCCAGGTAAACCTGAACAGCGAGGTGGTAGAGGCAAGATTCATACATAGTTTTAAGAATAGGTGTGATAGGGCTCATGAAAGCAGAGGAGAGTGAAGCCAGTAGCGGCTAACGATGAAACGGGGCCAGGAGCTGGGAAATGGCTTGATATTCCTGCCAGGCATAGAATGTGCTCTAGAGAAGTTCGCTTCCTGGTAGAGAATGTGCTCTAAGGGTGTTCGCCCCCTTGTAGAGAGTGTGCTCTAGGGGTGTTCATCACTATACCTGCGCATGCGTCAACACAACATTTAAACTTGCAAACAAGCATTGGTTAAGGTGAGTCCTCCAGTTTTAATCGATTTCATTCACTTTTATCCCTGCTGGTGCATGCAACTGATCCATGTGAGACACTGTCACACCCACTAACCTTCCCGAAATGTCTAGTGAAAGGTTTGGTCTAAGTTTGTTGTGTTTTAAGCAACTTTGTCTTGATCATTGTTCAACGGCATCATACCTGAGGCTAGAGAATTGATTTAATTCTTTAAATATATATGTTAAGTGTCTTCTAAGTTAATGGAGACGAGAAGTGGTGTTACTAGAAATATCCAAATTAACTTTACTTTGTTCAGCGGTGGATATATATTAATATATGGCCGTCTATTTGAGGTTTTTTTTTTCTTGCGTGCTACCTGTTGCTCTTAATTTTATTAATAAAATTGAAACTAATGTAGTAGAATGCTGGTAATAAATCTTTATATTCATACAAAGTAAATTTATTTAGGTTTGGGGTTATCCTAGGTAATTTACACGTGTTTCTATGATTGTACTTGCATGGGTCGAGTCAAAGCTCCTGGCCTGTATTTGTGTACTTATACCTAAATAAACTTAGATACAGGTAATAATAAAGGACGCCAGTGGCAATAAGTCACTTTGATTTCTTTGGATTATCCTAGGTAATTTTTGCATGATACTTATGTCTAAATAAACTTGAGAAATCACTCTTCTCCCTTCCTGTAGCTTCATTCATTAGGTACAGGTACACATAATTACAAATATCATAGTAATGTGTGCAAATTACCTAGGATAACCCCCCAAAAAAGTCACTGACTTGTTTCTATTACAGGTGGATTACCCCTCAAGGTTGATGGTGAGGGGCTCTTGATCTAGGGAATTGGATCTGTGCTCCAGTTCCCTGAATTGAGCCTGAATAGCTTCCCCCCCACAGGTGCTGTATAATCCTACAGGTTTAGTGTTCCCCCATGATTATAATAATATTGGTGGATTAATACACAAGCTGTACGAGAGGCACACCAGTGTCACGTTTCCTGTAACGCCTCCTTCAGTTCTTGGATGCCTTGAATGTTACCAGAAAGCCGAGCTAAATTATTGTGTACACTGTTTTAACTTGATTTTTACTTTAACTTGCTGCTATTCTTTAAATATGATATTACTAGGACTCCAGTGGAAATGATTTTTTGGGGGGATTATCCAAGGTAATTTACTTGTACAGTATGTTAAACTATGTATAATGATTTTGCTTGTGTATACTTGTACCTAAATAAACTTGGCAAGACTTGACAGATTCTTTGATTGGTCAGTGCCAGACCATTGAGTAGCTCCACCCTCATTATTTGGTCCTGGTTTGAATTAAGTTGCAAACACTAGGACATTTATCAAAACATTTCAAGGCAATTCCCAACAGAACTGGCTGTCATTAAGAGAAAACTTAAGTTACTTAAATTTGGTTCCTGATCAGCCAGTCTGTGGCTTGTATGATGGACTGTATGTGACCAGCTGTGAGCCTGGTTGATCAGGCCTTGATCCACTATGAAGTCTGGTCTGGGACTGGGGCATTGACCCCCAGAAGCATCCTTCAGGTTCTGGGACAGAAATGAAATGATTTTTTTATGAATGTGTCTTAGTTTTTTTGTTCCCTGTCTTTTTAAACCTCTTGTTGAAATACTAAGGTTTACATTAAACAAAATTATAGTAGTTAAGAGTTTACATAATGAATGTATTCCCTACTAAATAATTGCCAAATGATATCTTTAAAGTCAAATATGCTTGCTTGGTCTGCCTTTTCTTTTGGCAGTTCTACATCTCTTGACTAACACTGATTTGCTACATTTATTTTGACCCTCTCCCTGTCCTCTCTGCTGCTGTCCTTTTTACATCAAAATACATTTTGTTTTGGTAAACTTTTACACCAGCTAGCCTACCTAGATCTTTCATGTGTACCAGAAGTAAAATTGATGTTCATGACAAACTATAAACAAACTCGTTAAGGTTAGGGAAGGGGTCCTTGTCGTGGTAAAGAGGCTTTTGGTCAGCATAATTAGACATTTGTCTTCATTCTGCTGACCCTAATTACCCCAGCCACTCCCTTCCCTGCCTTATCCCCTCCCTTCCCTGCTTTATCCCCTCTTCCCCATCCTTTCCTGCTTTTGGACTTTGGGGTCCTTCCCTTGAATTCTAGCTCCTAGGTTCGGGAAAGGGTGTGTGGTCTGTCCCATTCCTTTGAGGTCCTTGGTGTTTGTCATGGAATCTAGATCAGCTGGGGATGTTCCAGGGGGTGGCCTAGGGTGTCCTTCAGGTGATAGGTGTATCTCTGGAAGCTGCTTCTCGGTTCTGGGAGGTGGTCAAGGAAGGTATGTTTGTGGCAGGTTTCTGACTGCCCTTTTTTGTCCACAGAGGTGGTTCTGTGGATGTGAGATTGCTATCCTAGATTTCTGGTTCACTGGCATGTGTAGGGTCTGGCATGGGTTCCATGCCAGGCCCTACGATCCTTTCATTCTTCCTGGGATCTATCCCTCCATGTCCCCCCCCCTTTTTTTTTTCCTCCCCCTCGTAGTTTTGTGTGTGTGTTATCGTTGGAACCCATACCCACGAGGTTGCGGGGCCCGGTGACTCCTGCCGCCTTCCTGATCCCTAGTGTACTTCCCTGACCATGCTTTCGTACCTCTGCTTCAAGCTATGAAACCTTGGGTAACATTCCATTAACCTACTCTGTGGTAAAAATGTTCCTAACACCCTTGAATCACTTTCTTACCTCTGTACCACTGTGACTATGATCCTGTTTTTCCACCGTAACAGATTGTACAAACATTCCCCTATCCTCTGTCCTTCCATTCCAGATGACCCTTAACCTCTCCTCTAAAAATCCTACCTCAGTTTTTTGCTATCTTTCCCTTTGCACTTTCTCTATTCCACCGGCTGGCAGGGTGGCCCAAACGGAAAAATGAAAGTTCTCCTTTCCATTTAGTCAATGCGCTGAGGGGTTACTAGCCCCTTGCCCAGTATTGGTATTTTCAGAGTGTGCCTGTTACACCCCCCGTCATGGGTTTATCTCTGGATAGAATTTTGTTCCCTTCCCCCAAATTCATGATTAAGGGGAGAACTCAACCAAGCTGGAAAGCAGCCTGCAGAAAACCCTTGAGGGGTGTGTAGTATTCTCTATCACTTGTCATCTGAAAAGTGGACCTAAGTGTAAGTAGTCAGTACAAATACCAGAAACTGCATGTCTATGAGACCCGGGACCCAAATACACCAGCAACTCCTACCATACTCGTTAAAATCAATTTAGTGCCTTCCTTTTACACTCGCCTAGTTTTGCACTCCCTGGGGTGGTTCTGCTCCGATAAACCAAACCCCCTACTCCTAATTTCTTCTCTTAATGCTTCAAGAATTCCAGGTGGACACAGATTTCCCCGTTAACGCATTCTTTTGAGAGATCATCCTTCGGTGCCAAATTTCTTATAATCTTCAACTGCTTTTATACTTACATTCGTGCCCACGGGTACTATTTTAATGCTCTCCTTCCCCTTTTGTTGGGCAAAACATTTCTTCTTATGCCTAGGCAATCACAGTACAAAAGAGGTAGGCATATATCTTCCTGGACATGTTGACAAACGCCAGTTAAGATTCGCAGCACACTCCCTAATTCTGGCTGTGGATATTGTACTTCCACATACGATTGTACGACGGACTTTCTCGATTAATGAGAAATTCTGGAGCAACACAACCAAGAATCTCCTGATCATAAAGTAACACCACCCCTGCCTGGGTGGACATTTCCCAATAGCAAGGCTAACTTTTGACGCTGTGAACTACACATCGTTGATGTAGCAGGACAATGCCAAAAGCGTGAGAGGTGATCTTACCTGCAAAATAGAATGCTGACTTTTCCCCCACAAAAAAATATTGCGGTCGGCAGAATTTGCCTTTCTGGTACGCGACCATAACAATCTCCTGCGCCACCTCCCTCTTCTTAACGCAAAGAGCACACCCTGCCTATCTCGCTTTCCAATTTTCTTAAAGAACTCCTGGGACTAGTCTTGTTGCAAACCTTTGCACTTTCTCTAGTTTCTTTACGTGCTTGGCTAGGTGTGGGTTCCAAACTGGTGCCGCATACTCCAATATGGGCCTAACGTATACGGTGTACAGGTCCTGAACGATTCCTTATTAAGATGTCGGAATGCTGTTCTGAGGTTTGCTAGGCGCCCATATGCTGCAGCAGTTATTTGGTTGATGTGCGCTTCAGGAGATGTGCCTGGTGTTATACTCACCCCAAGATCTTTTTCCTTGAGTGAGGTTTGTAGTCTCTGACCCCCTAGACTGTACTCCGTCTGCGGCCTTCTTTGCCCTTCCCCAATCTTCATGACTTTGCACTTGGTGGGATTGAACTCCAGGAGCCAATTGCTGGACCATTTCTGCAGCCTGTCCAGATCCCTTTGTAGTTCTGCCTGGTCTTCGATCGAGTGTATTCTTCTCATCAACTTCACGTCATCTGCAAACAGGGACACCTCAGAGTCTATTCCTTCCGTCATGTCGTTCACAAATACCAGAAACAGCACTGGTCCTAGGACTGACCCCTGCGGGACCCCGCTGGTCACAGGTGCCCACTCTGACACCTCGCCACGTACCATGACTCGCTGCTGTCTTCCTGACAAGTATTCCCTGATCCATTGTAGTGCCTTCCCTGTTATCCCTGCTTGGTCCTCCAGTTTTTGCACCAATCTCTTGTGTGGAACTGTGTCAAACGCCTTCTTGCAGTCCAAGAAAATGCAATCCACCCACCCCTCTCTCTCTTGTCTTACTGCTGTCACCATGTCATAGAACTCCAGTAGGTTTGTGACACAGGATTTCCCGTCCCTGAAACCATGCTGGCTGCTGTTGATGAGATCATTCCTTTCTAGGTGTTCCACCACTCTTCTCCTGATAATCTTCTCCATGATTTTGCATACTATACATGTCAGTGACACTGGTCTGTAGTTTAATGCTTCATGTCTGTCTCCTTTTTTAAAGATTGGGACTACATTTGCTGTCTTCCATGCCTCAGGCAATCTCCCTGTTTCGATAGATGTATTGAATATTGTTGTTAGGGGTACACATAGCGCCTCTGCTCCCTCTCTCAATACCCATGGGGAGATGTTATCTGGCCCCATTGCCTTTGAGGTATCTAGCTCACTCAGAAGCCTCTTCATTTCTTCCTCGGTTGTGTGCACTGTGTCCAGCACTTGGTGGTGTGCCCCACCTCTCCGTCTTTCTGGAGTCCCTTCTGTCTCCTCTGTGAACACTTCTTTGAATCTCTTGTTGAGTTCTTCACATACTTCCCGGTCATTTCCTGTTGTCTCTCCTCCTTCCTTCCTTAGCCTGATTACCTGGTCCTTGACTGTTGTTTTCCTCCTGATGTGGCTGTACAACAGTTTCGGGTCAAATTTGGCTTTCGCTGCTATGTCATTTTCATATGGTCTTAGGCCTCCCTTACTGAATGTCAATATTCATTCTGGCTCTACGACTGTTTTCTCCTTATCTACCGGGTCCATTGCCTTCTATATTTTTCCAATTCCCTAGCACTACTGTTTTTGCCTACCCTGCACCTTTGGGTAAACCATGCTCATACCTGAGCTTATTTCATTACTCCTGTCTACGCTTGGGTGTGTTGTGTGTGTTGTGTGAATGTCTGTTGATCTGTAATGTGTTTGTGTGTGTGTGTGCTGGTGTTCTGTGGTAGTATAAATGTATATGTACTAAGTATAGTAAAATTATCAGGGAAAGACCCATAACAGCCACACTCCTCCTCCTGACTTATCCATCTGCACTTCCCTATACCCTGGCGACTTCCTGACCACTGTTTCGGAGCCTCTTTTCCACCCGTACCTTCGGCCTAACATTCCATTAACCTACTCTGGTACAGAGTTATAACCACCCTTAAAACAACTTTCAAGCCTCTGTACACTTTGACTATGACATCTAGCTTTTCCAGTATCAAAATTGTAACACAACTTGGACAATCTCTGATCCTTCCATCCAATGACCTGACGCATGTCACAAAGATCTCCTCAGTTTCTTCTTAAAAATTCTTTCAAAGACCGGCCGTATCCCAGCCGAGGTCAGTGTGGCCCAAAAGAAAAACAAAGTTCTCCTTTCACAATTGTAAATACACAGAAGTGGTTACTAGCCCCTTGCCCCCAGGCATTTTTAATGGCCTCTTACAACACACATGGCTTACCGTGAAGAATTTTGTTCCACTTCCCCATGGAAATAAGGAAATAAACAAGAACTAGAAAGAAAATAGCAAAAACCCAAGTGTGTATATACTTAATGCTTGAAGTATGTGACCAAAGTTTAATAAAGTAGCAAGACGACCTGTTAATCTTGCTATTAAATGAACAGACAAAATACACACAATCCTACCACATGTAAAACAATTACAGCTTCGTTTTACACTCGCTAGTTATACCAGTCCCTGGGTGGTTGCTGTCTACCAACCTACTACCTAGGAGTAAAATTCTTATGCTTAAAGAAATTTCCAGTGAAGCAATTACCCAATTACTTCATTTCAGAGTCGCCTTGGACAAATTCTTCTGTTTCACTGGACTTTTATCGTTTCTACCACAGTATCAGTAAGCATTCACACCATGTTGGGCAGAACATTTCCTTCTGAATGAAACTTCAGAAGTGGAAGCATGCATGTCACAGTACAAAACACAGTAGGCCATATAACATTACCCCCCCCCCCCCCAACAAACAGAAAAAGATGAAAAGCAGGGAGCCATGAGTATGCTAAGACAACACAAAAAAATGTCAGGAACCAAAGATTATTTAACTGCCTCCTTACATACTTAAGGGAGATTACCAATAGACCTCTAGTTGTCTTCAAGGGGGAGCTGGACAGGCATCTCAAGTCAATACCTGTCCAGCTGGGCTGTGGTTTATATATCGGTTTGCGTGTGGGCAGCAGTAACAACCTCGTTGGTCAGGCCATGATCCACTGTGAGGCCAGGTCATGAACCGGGTCATGGGGATGTTGGCTCCTGAAACATCCTCCAGGTAACACCTTCCACTCTTTCCCTGTACCATTTTTTCAGTGTTCCCCTCCCCTTTTTACCATCTTTTTCAATGTTCCCTCTTCCTGTTTACCATCTACATAACCTTTACAGGTTCAGTGCTTAGGAATACAAGACTGAATGACAGCAGCGCAGATGTGGAAGTATTTTTCTGTTTCAGCATGGTGACCGAAGAGGGTAGTAACGGGGGTAAGGTGATCCCAGTTCGAGTGGCAGTACGAATACGGCCCCTCAATAATAGGGAGAGGCGTGAAGGATGCCAGGAGTGCCTTGATATAACGGATGGATCCCCACAGGTTTGTTTGTACAGTAGTTTATATCTTTTCTTTTATATTTGCTTTATTTCCATTACACTTTCCCATTAGATAATGTAAATAGTATCCTCTAAAAATACTGGTACTTAGACTGAGAGTGGCCTAACTTGTCCACAAATCCTGCATTTGGCAGCACCCTTGATTCACCATGAATGCTATAGTGACACCACAAAACAGCAAGGGATCTGTATTTTCAAATTACTGTGCAGCACCTGTATGGTACATTGTTCCTTAAGTACCTTTAACCAGAGTGGAAAAAACTGCTTATTTTTACCCATTAGTATTTGGTTAACCAAAATCAGAAAAAGTTTTAATACTTTTTTTGCCTTCAGATTGTGGTGCGAGGAACAGAAAAGGCTTTCACATTTGATTACACATATGCCTCCGAGTGCTCACAAGCTTATGTATATGAAACGGCTGTGAAGAATGTTGTCCATAACTTATTTAAAGGTTGGTAAAACTCTATTAACCAAGTTCAATAGCTTTTCATGTGGTACTGTTAAAAACAGTTTTACTTACATTTTTATTTCTCTTCACTATTATTTATAGATGCAACCATAAACTTAATTATAATGGCTATGAATATTTTGAAGTTACTAAATTTACAAAATAACCAACAAATTTGAAACGTGTATTGAACTATTTCTGACATCCTGGATCATTACCGAGTTGAAAGAGTGGCACTTTTTCCCAATTTTCTTTAATCCTTTTCTTGATAATGGTCTGGAACATTCCAAAGTGTTCCTTTTCAATTTTAGTACCAGTGATTTAATGAACTGAATTGATAATTTAATTTGCAGGTTACAATGTAACCGTGGTGGCGTATGGTCAGACAGGTTCGGGCAAGACCCATACAATGGGTACGGCGTACACACACGATGATGATGATGATGATGATGAGGCTGGTATCATCCCTAGAGCTGTGAGAGAGATTTTCCATGGGGTGGCCAATAGAAAGAACTGTGAATTTATGGTGAAAGTATCATTTATTGAGGTAAGCCATGTTCACGGTTTTGTGTGAACCATAAGATACACAAGGCATTTAAATTTGTTGAATTCTGGTTTGTGTGTGTATTTTAATGGAATTGATAGATTACGACTAAATTCTTTAATTTTTAACCTTGATTTGTTAATTTTATTTAGCTATACAAAGAGACACTATTTGACCTCCTGAGCACCAGAAATAGAGAGGAATGCGCTGTAGATATCAGAGAAGATCCCAGGGAAGGCATTAAAATCGTTGGCCTTACGGAGATCCCCGTCACAAGTCTTGATGAAACCATGAGATGTCTTGAAAGGGTTTGTAATACTTTTTTATATTTTCTTAGCATTACTGTCACTGATTATCTACCAATAGAAAAACTGTTGGAAGGATTAGGTGGCATACAGTATACTAAAGTATAACCTTATGAAGTGTATCGGTTGATCCTGTTTTTTTTCTTGCCAAAAATAAAATCTTTTTTTGTATCAGTTGTAAGTTTATTCTAGTTTTTGAGGGCCTTTAAAAGGGATTAAGTAGTTCTGATTTCAAATATATTCCAGTCAGCACCTGGAAAAGTTCTGAAAAAATATATAAAGTATGAAAACTTCACAGTATTTGTAACAAAAATAGTAATGGTCAATCCAAATTCTTGATAAATAGGAATAAATGAGCACTGCAGTAGGCCTACTGACCTATGTTGGGAAAGTCCTCAAAACCAACCATTTTATAAGAATGAAGGTGATTTGCACTGCAGCAATTCCACTGGTCTATGCTAGGCAGCCTCTACTCACATCAAGCACATTAGGTAAAGATTACTTAAAAACTGTGGTTATAATATATTTTTTATTAACACCCACCAAGGCAGGGTGGCCCAAAAAAAGGAAAAACTTAATCATCATTCACTCCATCACTGTCTTGCCAGAGGCATACTCACACTACAGTTATAAAACCGCAACATTCACACCTCTCCTTCAGAGTGCAGGCACTGTACTTCCCATCTTCAGGACTCAAGTCCGGCTTGCCAGTTTCCCTGATTCCCTTCATAAGTGTTACCTTGCTCACACTCCAACAGCACGTCAATATAGCCATGTCTTTTACATTTCCATGATTAGCAGGTAAGAGATAAGGGAGGGATACCATCTTTTTACCTTTCCTTACCCTGGATTAGGCTATTTGTTAACAGTATTATTGTGTAGTATAATTCCTAGCAACATTTATAGGTAGACTTCCTTAGTCACTTGAACCCTGTTTGAACCTTACACATAGGCTGCCCCTCAGAGCTCTCTATCTCTGATTCAGAGAGGCCTAACAGGTGAGCAGACAGGCTGGGCTCTGCCACAATTACCAGTATAATTATTCCAAAACAGTCTACGGTTGTTTCCTTGCTACCATCGCTTCTCCAGCGAACCCCATAACATGTTGGATTCACTCTCTCCATTCAGTTACCTTCGGTACTCTTTTCCCTTACCATAAATTGAGCTGTAATATTTGTTTATATCTTACGCAACCATGATTTGTAATTCATAATAAATTGAAACATAATTGTTTAATCTTAAAATGGGAATAGTGGCCAAACTGGTAACTTTTCAGTGTTCTGCTCTTGTCTTGTTGCACCAAAGAATTAGGTATCTAGTGTATGGTAGACCCTCAGTATGCAAGGATTTCATTCACTCAGATATACTGTTTGATCCCTTTTCACTTAAAAATGTGGTCTTCAATCCTTGACCTTTACTCGAGTATACATGTACATATATGGTAATTATACCCGCCAACTCTGTCGTTTAAAATATTCATGTCTCTTGTCCTCGAAATATTAGCACAGTTCAATATTTGAGATTAATATGTAGAACTATTTTTAATAATATAAAGGGTGGTTGCCATACAGATTTTAAGTTTAGTTTGCAGTGGAATAAGTGATAAATAGAAATGGTTCTTTGGTAGTGTTAACTGTTTACCAGTGAATGCTGGTGCTACCAAAGCTTATGTAAATAGCATTAATTGAGATTGATAGTGTATAATATATCTTGGCATTTTGTTCATGTGTTATCACTGAAGCATAATTTTACTGTATTTGTACTCTATTAAGCTCTGACTCCCTGAATTGATTGTTTAGATTTGAGCATCATAGTATAAATTGAGTTGTCATTATTTTCATTCTTTAGGGTGCCATGAATAGAGCCACAGGTGCTACAGCCATGAATGCACGCTCCAGTCGTTCCCATGCAATTTTTTCCCTGCACATTGAACAAAGGGAAAAAAAGGAAGGGTAAGTAATTTTTTTATCAAGTACAGAACTTTAACCTATTTTTTTATTGTTAGCTGGTGTTATTTATATTACACTTTCTCCTACACCCTCCTTCTTAGGTTAATAAGTGTTTTGGACTTTGCAGAGACAGTATTACCTGTTCCAAGTTTCACATGGTGGACTTGGCTGGCAGTGAACGTGCTAAAAAAACTGGAGCAACCGGTGAAAGGTTCAAAGAAGGTGTCAATATCAACAAGGGCCTGCTTGCTCTTGGTAATGTGATCTCGGCTCTCTGTGAAGAGGGCAGCAGAGGTCACATTCCTTATAGAGACTCGAAACTTACCAGACTATTGCAAGGTAAGGATGAGGATTTTTCCAAAACTTGTCAGGAATGAGCTATCAGTATATTTAGAAAGTTAGATGCACATTTGTTTTTTCAACAGCCAATGCAAAGGAAATGCATTACCATAATTCATTCAGTAGCTGCTTTGCTTAAGTGCTGGCATCACACTTCAATTGGTCCTCATAACAAGCATTTTCTTTAGTTGAGGCGCTGTACTTCCCACATCCATATATTTGTAAAGCTTCTGATTTTTAGCAAATGATTAGTGCATTTGTCAGGTGATCATTCTATTTTCTGTGAAGCTAGAAACTTGAAAGTGAATATAGATAAAGAGTAAGGTGATGAGGGTATCGAGCAATTTAGATGGAAAAAAAAATTGGATATCACATCAGAGAGAGGGAGTATGGAAGAAGTGAACGTTTTCAGATATTTGGGAGTTGACTTATCAGCGGATGGGTTTGTGAAGGATGAGGTTAACCATAGAATAGATAAAGGAAAAAAGGTGAGTTGTGCGTTGAGGTATCTGTGGAGACAACAAATGTTATCTATGGAGGCAAAGAAGGGAATGTATGAAAGTATAGTGGAACCAACACTCTTGTATGGGCGTGAAGCTTGGGTTGTAAATGCTGCAGCGAGGAGGCGGCTAGAGGCAGTGGAGATGTTCTGTCTAAGGGCAATGTGTGGTGTAAATATTATGCAGAGAATTCTGAGTGTGGAAATTAGGAGGATGTGTGGAGTTACTAAAAGGATTAGTCAGAGGGCTGAAGAGGGGTTGTTGAGGTGGTTTGGTCATTTAGAGAGAATGGATCAAAGTAGAATGACTTGGAGAGCGTATAAATCTGTAAGGTAAGGAAAGGTAGGGGCCGTCCTCAAAAAGGTTGGAAGGAGGGGGTAAAGGAGGTTTTGTGGGCGAGGGGCTTGGGCTTCGTGCGTGTGCGTGTATGTGTGTGCACACATGTGCGTGCGCAAATGGTTTTTAGGACCTGACGAGCTATTGGAGTGTGAGCAGGGTAATATTTAGTGAAGGGATTTAGGGAAACTGGTTAGCCAGACTCGAGTCCTGCAAATGGGAAGTGTACAATGCCTGCACTTTAAAGAAGGGGTTTAGGATATTGACAGTTGGGAGGGACTTATAAACTGTTGCATCTGAGCGCCTCTGCGAAGGCAGTGATTATGTACAAGTGAGGTGAAAGTGTTGAATGATGAAAGTATTTTTCTTTTTGAGGATTTTTTCTTTTTAAGTCATCCTGCCTTTGTGGGAGATGACTGACTTGTTAAAAAATAAATGCTGTAAAATAAGTTACTGTATGTTTATAATAAAATTATGCTTTTCTGTTACTTGTGTGTATTGGACATTTATCATAACATAAATTTTTGGTATCAAAATAAAATTCTAATGGATTGTATTTTTCCATTTTAACAGATTCTTTAGGTGGTAACTCTCACACGGTAATGATAGCATGCGTGTCTCCTGCAGACAGCAACCTTGAGGAAACTCTCAGTACACTGCGGTATGCTGACCGTGCACGAAAAATTAAAAATAAACCAATTATTAATAGGGATCCACAGGCTGCTGAATTGGCAAAGTTAAGGCAACAGGTATGGGATCTGTCTTATTTTAATATTGTGCAGATGCATATACCTAGGTAGTAGGTTGGTAGACAGCAACTGCCCAGAGGTACTACTGTCTTGCCAAGTCATTGTAAAATGGAAGCCTGTAATTGTGTTACATGATGGTAGGATTTTGGTCTCTCTCCTGTCTCATAAACAAGTATGTCTTGCTACTTCTGCTTACTTAGGTCACACTACACATGCATGTACAAGTGTATATATACACACCCCTCTGGGTTTTCTTCTATTTTCTTACTAGTTCTTGTTTATTTCCTCTTATCTCCATGGGGAGGTGAAAGTGTCAAATGATGAAAGTTTTTGTTTTTGGGGATTTTCTTTCTTTTTGGGTCACCCTGCCTCGGTAGGAGACGGCTGACTTGTTAAAAAAAAAAAAAAAAGTTTTTTTTTAACAAGTCAGCCGTCTCCCACAGAGGCAAGATGACCCAAAAAGAAAGACAATATCCAAAAAGAAAATACTTTCATCATCATTCAACACTTTCACCTCACTCATACATAATCACTGTTTTTGCAGAGGTGCCTAGAACACAATAGTTCAGAAGCACAACATACCCCTCCAAACTGCCAATATCTCAAACCCCTCTTTTAAAGTGCAGGCATTGTACTTCCCATTTCCAGGACTCAAGTCTGGCTAACCAGGAAGGAAGGCAGGGTAGGGGTCGTCCTCGAAAAGGTTGGAAGGAAGGGGTAAGGGAGGTTTTGTGGGCGAGGGGCTTGGACTTCCAGCAGGCGTGTGTGTGTGTTCGATAGGAGTGAATGGAGACGAATGGTATTTGGGACCTGACGATCTGTTGGATATCAAATTGGGGAGGAGGAGTATGGAAGAAGAGAACGTTTTCAGATATTTGGGAGTTGACATGTCAGCGGATAGATTTATGAAGGATGAGGTTAATCATAGAATTGATGAAGGAAAAAAAGGCGAGTGGTGCATTGAGGTTTATGTGGAGGCAAAACATGTTATCTATGGAGGCAAAGAAGGGAATGTATGAAAGTATAGTTGTACCAACACTTATATGGGTGTGAAGCTTGGGTTGTAAATGCTGCAGCGAGGAGGCGGTTGGAGGCAGTGGAGATGTCCTGTCTAAGGGCAATGTGTGGTGTAAATATTATACAGAAAATTCGGAGTGTGGAAATTAGAAGAAGGTTTGGAGTTAATAAAAGTATTAGTCAGAGGGCTGAAGAGGGTTTGTTACATGGAGAGCGTGTTGGGGGAAGGAAGGCAGGGTAGGGGTCGTCCTCGAAAAGGTTGGAGGGAGGGGGTAAAGGAGGTGTTGTGGGCGAGGGGTTTGGACTTCCAGCAAGCGTGCATGAGCGTGTTAGATAGGAGTGAATGGAGACAAATGGTATTTGGGACTGACGAGCTGTTGGAGTGTGAGCAGGGTAATATTTAGTGAAGGGATTCAGGGAAACCGGTTATTTTATATAACTGGATTTGTCCTGGAAATGGGAAGTACAATGCCTGCACTCTAAAGGAGGGGTTTGGGATATTGCCGGTTTGGGGGGATAGTTTGTGTATTTTTATATGTATATACTACTTCTAAACTGTTGTATTCTGGGCACCTCTGCAAAAACAGTGATTATGTGCGAGGTGAGAGTGTTGAATGATGAAAGTATTTTCTTATTGGGGATTTTCTTTCTTTTTGGGTCACCCTGCCTCGGTGGGAGACGGCCGACTTGTTGAGGGAAAAAAAAATCGGGGAAACCGGTTATTTTTATATAGCCGGACTTGAGTCCTGGAAATGGGAAGTGCAATGCCTTCACTTTAAAGGAGGGGGTTCGGGATATTGGCAGTTTAGAGGGATATGTTGTGTATCTTTATATGTATATGCTTCTAAGCTGTTGTGTTCTGAGCACCTCTGCAAACAGTGATTGTGTGAGTGAGGTGAAAGAGTTGAATGATGATGAAAGTATTTTCTCTTTGGGGATTTTCTTTCTTTTTGGGTCACCCTGCCTCGGTGGGAGACGGCTGACTTTAAAAAAAAAAAAAATCAGTTGCCCCTCTGTAAACACGTACATCCCGAAGCACTGCACCCCCCCCCCTCCCTCTGGGTTTTCTTCTATTTTCTTACTTCTTACTAGTTCTTGTTTATATCCTTTTATCTCCATGGGGAAATGGAACAGAATTCCTCCTCTGTAAGCCATGCGTGTCGTAAGAGGCGACTAACATTCTGGGTGCAAGGGACTAGTAACCCCTTATGTATACATTAAGGTTAAAACGAGAAACTTAGTTTTTCTTTTTGGGCCACCCTGCTTCAGTGGGATACAGCCAGTTTGTTGAAAGAAGATACATGCACCATATTCAGTTGTCCTTATACATACTTTGGTATATATTAACTGTTAAGTAATTGACAGTGTTAAGGAGAGCTGCTTGGGAATTTAACTTGGTTCAGTGCTGAACTAATTATGCATGTCCTTTACCTTTTTGTAGTTACAAGAATGTCTGGTTCAGTTTGTTCAAAGGCCGACAGCTGGTTCATGCTGAAATGCTACAGGAAAGTTTTTCTTCTCAAATAGTGATGAAATGGTAGAAGTAGGTCTGAAAAGAATGTAATGTTAAATCCAATGGCAGATTTTGAAAACTATAACTTAAATGCTGAAGATAGGACACATGAATATATGTAAATTTCTGCAACTACAAATTGGTAATCATCAGTGGGTTTATAAATAGGGATCACATTTATCTGACATGTAAGGGGTGGCAGCGTTCTTCATAATTTTGGTACTCTTTTGTAACATTTTTAATTCTTTTAAAAAAGTTCAATAAAATGTCATGGTTATTTTGATGCTAGATATAAGTATGGGGGATATGTCCATATTTCATTTTAAATCAAAATATTTCATGTGAAATATCTTGTGATCTTATAATAATTCATGGGCATTTCAGATAACTGTTACTATAGTAGGTCATCTATTTGACATCTTTTTATTTTGTGGTTTGCAGGTTCAGCAGTTGCAAGTACAACTGTTGGCCTCAGGCAGTGCAAGTGGAGGAGTAGCAACAGCATCATGTGATGAGGTACCTACAGAAAATCTGTCTTAAGCTAGAATGTTTTGTCAAAATAAAGAATTACAGGATTATTGAAGAGAGCTAACAAGAACTGTAATAATAATAAGATATTTTAACTATGGTCATCTTGCTATCTTTTTTTTTTTCTTTTTTCCTCTTATCTTGACTTCATATAGTATTAGTTTTGTAATAAGTTTCACTGCATAAATTTCACTTTAGTTTTGGAGGTGAGAAAGTGTTGGCACTCTGAAGAAATGGTAGGAATATACCTGTAAGACCTGTGACTAGTCTAGATTTTCTACTCTTGTAGCATGGGCTTTAGTAGTTTGGCTGTACAGGGATGTGTGATGTATCTTGGTTGTTTAAGATGTTTATAGATAGGTTTGTAAAAAGTGAATGCAAAGATGTATGGCAGGTGTATGATTAAAATATGCAGAATCAAATACAAAATGGGAGTTGTTGCAGTTGGTTTTACTGATGACACTGCTTTTGGGAGATTCTGGAGAGAAGTTGCAGATGTTGGTGGATGAATTTGGGAGGTGATGAGGGTAGAAAAATTAGGTAATGATTAGATATCAGATTGGAAGGAGTATGAAGGAAGTGAATGTGTTCAGATATTTTGGAGTGGACTTGTTGTCTGATGGGTAAATAAAAGATGAGGGGGAACCATAGAATTGAAGGGGAAAAAAGGTGGTTGATGCATTGAAGAATCTGTGGAGACACTGTTATCCATGGAGGCAAAGGTGGGAATGTATGAGTATAGTGGCACCAACACTTGTGTGGGTGCAAAGCATGGGTTGTGAATTCTGCAGCAAGGAGGCTGGGGGTAGTGAAGATGTAGTGTCTGAGAGCAGTGTGTGTGGTGTAAATATTATGCAGAGAATTTGTAGCTTAATATCAGTAGGTGGTGTGGAGTTATTTAAGGTATTATCAGAGCTGAGGAGGGGTTGAGGTGGTTTGGACATTTAGAGGACGAAGTAAAATAGGATGACTAGGAGGATGTATAAATCTGTAGTGGAGGGAAGGTGGGTCAGGGGTCCCCCAAAGAAAGGTTGCAAGGAGTAAAGAGGTTTTGTCCAAAGGGCTTGGACATGCAGCACTGTGTGTGTGTGTGGGGTGTGTGTGTGGGTGTGTGTGTGGTGTGTGTGGTGGGTGTGTGTGTGGGTGTGTGGTGGGTTGGTGGTGTGTGTGTGTGGTGTGTGTGTGTGTGTGTGTGGGTGGGGGGGTGTGTGGTGGGGGGGTGTGTGTGGGGTGTGGGGGGTGGGGTGTGTGTGGGGTGGGTGTGGGGTGGGTGTGTGTGTGTGGGGTGTGTGTGTGGGGTGTGTGGGTGGGGGGTGTGTGTGTGTGTGGGGGTGGGTGTGTGTGTGTGGGGGGGGTGGTGTGGGTGGTGTGTGTGTGTGTGTGGGGGGTTAGGAGTGAAGGCATGTGGCTACTGGGACTTGACAAGCAGTTGGAGTATGAGCAAGGTAACGTTTTATGAAGAGATTTGGGAAAACCAATTGGCTGGACTAGAGTCCTGGGGGTGGGAAGTACAGTACCCCCAGGACTCTAGTCCAGCCAATTGGTTTCCCCAAATCCCTTCATAAAGTGTTAACTTTGTCGAGCTCCAACAGCTTGTCAAGTCCCAGAAACCATTTGCCTACACTCCTATCTAACACACTTACACACACATGCTGTATGTCCAAGCCTTTTGGACACGAAACCTCTTTACTCCCTCCATCCAACCTTTCTTGGGAGGACTCCTGACCCACCTTCCCTCCACTACAGATTTATACATCCTCCTAGTCATCCTATTTTACTTCAACCTCTAAATGTCCAGACCACTGGCTGCCTCCCTACCTCGGTGGAAGGCAGCCAGTGTTAATTTTTTTTTATTATGCTAAATACTAAGATTGCAAGTATTTACTGCTTGCAAAAAACAAGCTTTGTAACAAAGAATATCAGTAAATGGATCAGAGGTCACAAATATTCTTGTAACTAAGTATATTTGTACAGTGGAGCTCTAAATATTGGCCAAAATCATTCCAGAAGGTCGTCCTAAATTCGAAGTAATATTTCCCATAAGGATTAATATAAATACAATTAATCCGTTCCAGACATCCGAAAACATTAATAAAAAATAAATTTTTTAAAGATTAATTATAGTTTTACACAAAACAATGAGAACTAAATAAAATAAATAAATGAACATTTTAAATCACTGTTACATGCCTTTATTGAAGACTCTTGTTGGCTTATGGAAGACAGGGAGGAGGAGAGAGAGGGAGGACTGATATTGTTTGGAAGGGGAATCCCCCTCCATAAGGACTTCGGGTATCAAAGCCTTCTCTGGGGTTACTTCCCTGCCTGCCTGCTACACTCACTGCCTCCCTTCCACACTCCCTGCATACCTGCTACACTCCCTGCTTCACACACACCCTGCATGCCTGCCTGCTACACTCCCTGCCCCTCTACACATCTTCCATTGGGCCCATGGGGGCATATTTCAGTCACATTTATTAAACAAGCACAAAAACCAATGGATTTTAAGGAAATCTTTGGATGGCTGCACGGAGTATTTGCTCATTCACCAAGAGACGCAGGGAGACTGACACCTACATGTGGCATCCCAGCGGGAGGCAGGCTGACATGTATAATACGGCCGATTTGTGAGGCACTGGCTGAAATACGGAGCAAATTATCTGCCCCAAAACGGGCCTAAATACGATTCTGCCGATAAACGCAGCGTTTGATATTTGGGGTTCCACTGTATATTGGAGAGGTCAGCATTAGTTGCCACTGCAGCAATTCGTCCAGTAGCTTAAGTGTTGGCTTGCTTGTCTTAAGGCTTTCATACCATGGATTTGAACCTGACCATTCCTGAAATTAAGTTCATTCTCTACCCCCCCCTCTTTTTGTTGTTGTTCATTTTCAGATATGTAAACAACCAATCTGTAGTTGCTTCTGGTGGATTCACTGCAACTGAGCTTGGTTTCATTAGTGTTATTAATAGCAGAATATTGCTTTAATTTAACTGGTTTAATATGATCCTTACTCGTGTATCTGATTAATTTGCAGATTAATGCTCTTTTGTCACAAAATCAAATGCTGCAGGATGAGAATGATAAACTTGATCGAGCTTTACGCACAGCTCTTGATGAGAACACAAATATGGCTGAGAAAGCTCTTATGGTGAGTTACCCTCTACTGTTCAGTTTTGTTCCAAACTCAGTATGAAACAAACGTGTGTGTGTGTGTGCAACATGATTGTATTTTTTCTTTATTTGTATGAAGTGCAAAATCTTTTTGAGGTCATTCTGTGCAAGAATTGGTGGAGGCTCTGTCCTCTGTTAAGCACAAGACCAGTATGTTGTTCTTGCACCCAGGCTTTACCCCACTGGCTAAACTACAATTGGTATAATATTACTGTTTACATATTTCTTTGGTGTATAGCAGCTGTAGCATAAGACATCAGTGTGACAGAGTATGTTATTCTGTTCTTTGATCATGAGAAGATGCCATGTATCAGATCTTTCCAACAAGGATGGACTGTAAAAGAAGAAATCTGAAAGTGAACATAGAAAAGAGGAAGGTGGTAAGGGAATGTGTTGGTAATATGGTTTGGATGATTAGATTGGAGGGTATATGGAGCAGATGAATATATTGAAGCATTTGAAAATTGATGTATCAGCAGATGGATGTATGAAAGACAGTGAATTATAGAACAGACCATGGAAAAGAAAGTGGGTAGTGTTAAGTCTGTGGAAAGAAAGTGTATCAGTTTTGCAAAAATGGGGATTTACCAGCATTTAGATGTGCCAGCACATTTTTAGGTGTGAGGTATGGTCTTCATGTTGCAGCTAGGATGTATCTTGAAGCAGTGGATATACAGACATTGTGAAGGGGTTGTTAAGATGGTTTGGTGTTTTTAGAAAGGATAGAGCAAATTAGATTGCTCCAAATTGTGTACAAATCCAGGGTGGATGGAAGATGGTGTATAGGACATTAAGAGTTAGAGGGTGTGAAAGATGTTTCGAGTTTTTGGAATTTGATATGAAGTGTAAGAAAGATAACATTTATGAAGGGATTCAGGGAAAAGCAATTAGCTGAACTGTAAGTGGGAAGTATAGTGCCTACACTTTGATGGAAGGGTAGGAATGTTGCTGTTTTATGGGTTATTTGAATTGATATCCATGTAGGTTTGGAAGGACAGCTACAGAATGAGTGATTGTGAATGTTTCCTTTAGGTGTGTCTTTTCCCCCTTACCCCCCCCCCCCCTTTTTTTTTTTTTTTTTTTCTTTTTTTTTAATTGGTATTAGTGTTAGGTGGCTTTTTGATGCCTCTCTCTTTAAGGCTGAAATGTCTCGAGACCGCTTGAAAATGAAACTTGAGGAGTTAAGAGCACAGACTGGAACTACAGTTGAGGCCCTGAACAAAACTCTTGATGTGACTGTTAATCCACAATTTGAAGATAAAATAAACCTGGTGAAGGAGTTGCAGTTAAAGGTTATTGAACTACAGGTGAGTGATGTTGAGAGTTCTTTTGTATGATCTCTTGACTGTCAGAGTGGATCAATACAATAAGCCTGAGTCGAAGAAATGAAACACACTAAGACACCGAGTATTACATGTAGTTTTCTTCTTGTAAAACTTGTAGTGCCTTGTGTTTTAAGAATTGCAAAACATTTAACATAATCAGTGAATATTAGAGGTTTTCCAGGTATGCTGTAAAACTGATGTAGGTTTATTCTATCACTTCACTTGATTTTGTAATGCCTACTACATAACCATGTAGTGTGGGTACAAGCAGAGAACTGTCTACAGATCAACATAAATGCCATTGAATATACATGAATTATTGCTTATATGGTTAACAGCAATATTCATAAGCAGTGAAGCCTTGGCTCTACTCATCACTATGCCTATAGATGCTCACTTTTAAATCAGTGTGATTCTTAATATATTTTTAATGCACTACTTTTGCATGAATTTTCTCTTGCATAGTTCACTTTGAAATCTTTATTATGTCAGAGTGAACATCGCAAGGAAGAGAAAGCCATGATGGACCATGAGCTGTCACGACACAACATTTCCATCGTGCCCACTGATAGCACAACCTCTACCCAAGATCTAGAGGGTGAGAATGGTGAAAATTCAGCTAACCAGATACCTAGAGAGTTTGGAACGGCATTCACCCTCCGTCAAGCTAAACTTAATGAAGAGCTTCAGGTAATTAATATAATAAGCTGGCCTGCCAAAAATAAAATGTTTTGGTATTTGGTGTATGAAGAATGTCAAAGTACCATAACTGAAACCATTCACAATCTGTACATACATACATATGTTTTTAAAAGTACTTAACCTCATTTTCTTAGTGTTATTTACTTTTTGATTGCCAAAGCCAGAAGTAGCTTTAGTTCTCTTTTTTACCTTTTATGTTATGTCCATTTCAAATTGCCTGTATGCCTCCCTCCATACTTTAAGAATAATCTAGTTCTTCGGCTTTTATTCTTTACCATTTTTCTGTTCTTATCTGTACAAACTTTCTTTCTATTTTGATTTTTGCTAAGAAAATTAATTTCTTGAGTGGTTTATAGCTCCCTGTTCAATTTCATACTGTTTTTCTGGGAGTTTCAGGCCATATATTCTTTGAAATCTCCTGAGTTCTTGCTTCCTCTGCAATTTTTCTTTAATTCTTATTTTTGCTAAATTTTAGATTATGCAATATTATCTTTTCAGGACTTGAACAAAGCCTTAGCAATGAAAGAAGAATTAATGAGCAAAATGACAATTAATGATGCCCAGTTTCTGGCAATGAAAGCCAGTTATGAGAGAGAGAAGAAGGACCTAGAAACTCACATTGATCTTTTGGCAAAAGAGAAGGATGAACTTTTACAGCAGCTGAAAGTGGCCTCTCATTGCTCAGCAGGAAACAAGTAAGCTATTGGCTCTATCTGCAAATTGAAAAAAAGTACATATGGCTAAATTTGGCTTCTCTAAAGAGTTGCTAGTGGAAAGCACTATTCCAATCTAAAGATTACAAGTGCCATATAAAACTGTCAAAATGTTTATTTCATTAGTCAATTTTTATCATGATCATATACAGTGGACATGCATAATTTGCCCTGATCGTGTTCCTGAAAACTGTGCTACCAGTGATTTTTGCAACTTGTGAAGTAAGACATGTGGGGAAACAATAGGATAGTGTTCCTAATTACTATCATTATTCAAAAAATACTTATTCCTACCCAATTTCACAAAAAGGCCATTGTTAGCAAATGAAGATGTAAAGTAGTAAATGTTTGTGTTTTGCTGTACTCCATGGCAGTAACTAATGTTAAGATGGTGAAAATGTGGCTTAGCACTTAGCTCCTTTTACAGTGAACAAGGTTTTAAATAATTCATCTTTTCAGGGTGTCTGAACAACGTCGCAAGAGGGTTCAAGAATTGGAAACTCAGATTGCTGATCTAAAACAAAAACAGAAAGAACAGGCAAAGCTACTGCGCATGAAAGAGCAATCGGAAAAAAAAGTCGACAAACTTAAATCTGAAATTCAGGTACGTACGTACGTTATGAACACCATTAACCCCTTGAGAGTCCAGGCTGCCAATTTGAAAATTCCCCACATGGTCCAAGACTTCAAAAAAATTTTTTTATTTTTTCTTATGAAATGGTAGAGAATCTTTCCTGAAGGTAATGCAACAAAAAGTACGAAATTTGATAAAAAATTGATGAACTTGCACTCTTGCAAATTTTGCTGTACCAGTGATAATTTACACACCGCTGATTTTGCCTACATTGAGTCCTATTTTTGGCCAATTACAGTGGAACCTTGGCACTCGAACTTAATTGGTTCCGGAAGGCTGTTTGAGTGCTGATCTGCACAAAATTTATTTTTCCCAACTAATTTTCTTTTTGGTTGGCTGTTATCACTAACCCTCTTAGGCCCCATTGTGACTTATTTATACAGTATAAAAACACGCCAGAAAATGCGAAGAAACGTGAAGTAGTTTACAGCGAAGTTCTGGCAGTTCATGTTTGGCTGAGTGCCGAGCAAACGGTTGACTACCGAGTGATTTGTTTACCAAACAAAGCGTTAAGAGTACTAAGGTTCCACTACATTGTTCCATTAGACCAAATTCTTAGCTATTTTGCTAATGTGTGTTCCATTTTAACTAACGAGCACAAGAAATTGAACTACCCAATAAAGTGATTGGAAATTGGTAATTTGGCCAATTTCACAGTTAAAAACCACTTTCAAAATAAGGTCCAGAATAAACAGTGCAGGCATTCCTGGCACTAAAATAACATTTCCTCTGTTTATTAGTTGTTTCCAGGCTTTACAGATGAAATCCATTTTGATTTTTATTAGTTTTTATTCACACCAATAAATAAAAGATTTACTGTTATGCAATATTGTAATAATTATATAAATAATATCAGCACATTCATGAACGCACATTAAACCCACCAGGTAAAATGTATTTGACGCGTGGTGTGATTTGTTTACTCTTGAACATTTCAATAATCAAACATTTCCCCTACTCTAAGATCAATTCCAAGTTTTCAGTACCAAAACCAATCAAAATAGTCTATTTCTGTAATATATCCTCCATTTTATCAAATGAGACCAAGAAGCCACATATACAACTGTAAAAACCAGATGAAAATACACTGCCAAGTTGCTGTTTAAATCCAAAGTTATCATCATCAATATCATCATCATCAATATCATCATCATCAATATCATCATCATCAATATCATCATCATCAATATCATCATCATCAATATCATCATCATCAATATCATCATCATCAATATCATCATCATCAATATCATCATCATCAATATCATCATCATCAATATCATCATCATCAATATCATCATCATCAATATCATCATCATCAATATCATCATCATCAATATCATCATCATCAATATCATCATCATCAATATCATCATCATCAATATCATCATCATCAATATCATCATCATCAATATCATCATCATCAATATCATCATCATCAATATCATCATCATCAATATCATCATCATCAATATCATCATCATCAATATCATCATCATCAATATCATCATCAATATCATCATCAATATCATCATCATCAATATCATCATCATCAATATCATCATCATCAATATCATCATCATCAATATCATCATCATCAATATCATCATCATCAATATCATCATCATCAATATCATCATCATCAATATCATCATCATCAATATCATCATCATCAATATCATCATCATCAATATCATCACCATCAATATCATCACCATCAATATCATCACCATCAATATCATCACCATCAATATCATCACCATCAATATCATCACCATCAATATCATCAATATCATCAGTATCATCAATATCATCAGTATCATCAATATCATCAGTATCATCATCAATATCATCATCATCAATATTATCATCATCAATATTATCATCATCAATATTATCATCATCAATATTATCATCATCAATATTATCATCATCAATATTATCATCATCAATATTATCATCATCAATATTATCATCAATATTATCATCATCATAAATATCAATATCATCATCAATATCAATATCATCATCAATATCAATATCATCATCAATATCAATATCATCATCAACTACCCGACTACCGAACACACTGTTCCTAGCTCCGACTAACCCATACGAAGTCTCCCTTATTATCAACGCACTAAAAAACAAGGCAGGAGATTTAAATACCTTACCACCCTTTATATACAAAAAAGTGTCACAAGTGCTATCACCAATCATTGCAACACTCTTTAACAAATCCATTGAATCCTCCACCTTCCCTACAGTACTCAAAATAGCAAGGGTCACCCCGATCCACAAAGGAGGAGACCAAACAGAGTTGAATAACTATAGGCCAATATCCAACTTACACCCTCTCTCAAAAATCTTCGAAAAAATTAATTCATAAACGAATCTACTCCTACCTTATCTCCCAAAACATACTCAACCCCTGCCAATTTGGATTCAGGCCTAATAAAAATACTAATGATGCTATTATACACATGCTAGAACATATACACTGCAATAGAGAAAAAAGAAGTCCCACTGGGGATCTTCATTGACTTACGTAAAGCTTTTGATACAGTTGACCATGACTTGGTCCACGTAAAATTGTCACACTATGGTATAAGAGGGCACTCCCTCAACTACCTCAAGTCATACCTCAGCAACAGAAGCCAATATGTGTACGCAAATGGGGCAAACTCTTCTGCACAACCAATTACAGTTGGTGTCCCACAGGGAAGTGTCCTTGGCCCTCTTCTCTTTCTCCTATACATAAATGACCTACCAAATGCTTCGCAAATACTCAAACCCACACTATTTGCTGATGACACAACATACGTCTTCTCCCACCCGAACCCAGTCACGCTAGCCAATACTGTAAATACCGAATTACAGAAAATATCTACCTGGATGAGTACTAACAAACTTACACTAAACATTGACAAAACCTACTTCATTCAGTTTGGTAACAGAGCTACAGATGTCCCTCTTAACATAATGATAAACGGATCACCTATCACAAAGCTAACAGAGGGAAAATTCTTAGGAATCCACCTTGATAATAGACTCAAGTTTCATACACATATACAACAAATTTCTAAGAAAATTTCCAAGACTGTAGGCATACTATCGAAGATACGGTACTATGCTCCACAGTCAGCCCTCCTGGCCCTATATCACTCTCTTATTTACCCCTATCTCACCTATGGAATTTGTGCATGGGGCTCAACAACAAGTAACCATCTCAGACCACTAATTACCCAACAAAAGGCTGCAGTTAGAATGATAACAAATTCTCACTACAGGCAGCACACTCCACCAATAATTCAATACACTCAACCTACTCACCATACAAAACATCCATACTTATTACTGCACCTATTACATACATAGAACACTCAACTCTGATATTAACCCTCCCCTCAAACATCTCCTTGCCAACCTCAACAGAACACATGACCATAACACAAGGCACAGATCACTCTTTGATATTCCTCATGTCCATCTCACGCTATGCAAAAACTCAATGCACATAAAAGGCCCTAAAATCTGGAATTCATTACCTGTAAATATAAAAGAAACAGTACCTGTTTATAAATTCAAGTCTCTTCTCAAAGATCACTTACTCACCCAAAACCAAATAAATACTGAATAACTGAACCTTATAAATTGTATATCTTAAATGTTTCTCACAATTATATCACATAAATGTTAAACCTAAAACCCAATCTAACTTTATTATTTTTTAAATACACTACCTAACAGAATACTCCATTCTACTGAATTTACAACAATGCATGCAACCATATGACCTGTCTTTGTAATACTCACTTGTGCTTTATAGTAATCTGTTTACATTAATGTTTTTCACTGATTTCATCATTGCTTAGTTAATCTTAAGTTAATTTTAAGCCAGCCCGTAATGCTATGCATAGTATAAGTGGCTTTGGCATGCTGCTCTTATCTGTATTTTTTTGTACCTCTGTATGTGTGCTCAAATTATAAATAAATAAATAAATCAATATCATCATCAATATCAATATCATCATCAATATCAATATCATCATCAATATCAATATCATCATCAATATCAATATCATCATCAATATCAATATCATCATCATCAATATCATCATCATCAATATCATCATCATCAATATCATCATCATCAATATCATCATCAATATCATCATCATCAATATCATCATCATCAATATCATCATCAATATCATCATCATCAATATCATCATCATCAATATCATCATCATCAATATCATCATCATCAATATCATCATCATCAATATCATCATCATCAATATCATCATCAATATCATCAATATCATCATCATCATCATCAATATCATCATCATCATCATCCCGTGCTAAAGGATTTGTTTTATATGGTGCACACTTGCCACATAAATGCATTCTCTCATATCTAGGCCCAAATTTACCACTTGCAGCTTGTCTGAGTGAGCTGAGCTCAGTGTTAAAAACAAATTACTCCCCTTTCCCATTCTCTCCAGTTTGAAAATACAACACGTGTGGTAGCAATAAGACTGCCTCCATCATGCATTCGTGTTTACCCCCCCCCCCCTCCTTTCCATTCCTTCTCTCCATCTTATTCTGTCATCATATCAGATACATTGCTGTTTTAATCTCTGCCAAACAAACATGAGCCATCCATATGTGCCTAAAATTATACAACAAATAGAAGGGCATTTGGCAGAAAATTAATGAAAATGTCAGTGTTTACAATACACAAATAACCTGCACATAGAAGAGAGAGCTTATGACAATATCTCGGTCTGACTTGGACCATTTACAAAGTCACTTTGTAAATGGTCCAAGTCTGACCAAAGTGTCATCGTAAGCTCCTGTCTCGTATTTGAAGATTATTTGTATACTCTTCGTCATGGTATTGTGCTTTTTTTATTTTATAGTGTTTACAATGTTTGTATCTGCAGATCAGCATTCATGAGAAATTTAATCCAAAGTACCCTGTTTATATATATAGACCTTACCATGTGTCGTTTTTTAATATTAAATCATCATCTGTTACAGAGTATGAAAGCTACAAGGGTAAAGCTTGTTCGCCAGATGAAGGAGGATAATGAAAAATTCAGAGTATGGAAAGCACAGAAGGATAGGGAGGTATGTTATATTTTAAATACTGCTTGAAGTTATTAGGTGACATGCGTGGTGCATTGAGGCATCTGTAGAGACAAATAACTATCCATGGAGAGAAAAAGGAGAATGTACCAGGTTATAGTAGCACCAACATTATTATATGGGTGTGAAGCATGTGTTTTAAATTGTTGCAGCAAAGAGATGGAGGCAATAGAGATGTAGTGTTTGAGGGCAGTGTGTGATGTGAATATTACATGAGAATTTGAGTGTGGAGATTAGGTGCTACGTTATCAAAAGTACAATTCAGAGGGTTGAGGAAAGGTTGATGAGGTGGTTTGGGCACTTAGGAGATGGAGCAAAATAGGATGACTGGATATGAGGGTGCAGGCAGGAAGGGTAGAGGTCATATCAGAGAGGAATCAATGAAGGGGGGTTAAAGGAGAGTTAAGGGCTTGAACATCCAACAGACGTGTGTTGTTTTATCAGTTATTGGAGACAAGCGGCTTTTGTTACCTGATGTGCTGAGGGGTGTTCATGTAAGGTAACATATATGAAGGAATTAAGGGAAACTGGTTAGCTAGACTTGAGTCTTGGGAGTGGGACGTACAGTTCCTGCATTCTAAGGAAGGGGTGTGTCAGTTTGAAGGGCCATTTAAATTATGATGTCGGCACACTGCAACCACGTGTAGGCGAGTACATAGTAGTGAACAGTGATAGAATGACTTATTATTATTTATTAACCCATCTCAGATGGGTTTATATGCTCTCCATGTCATTCTACTTTGATCCATTCTCTAAATGACCAAACCCCCTCAACAACCCCTCTTCAGCCCTCTAACTCCACACCTTCTCCTAATTTCCACACTTCGAATTCTCTGCATAATATTTACACCACACATTGCCTTTAGACAGGACATCTCCACTTCCTCCAACTGCCTCCTGGCTGCAGCATTTACAACCCAAGCTTCACACCCATATAAGTGTTGGTGCCACTATACTTTCATACATTCCCTTCTTTGCCAACGTTGGTAACTTTTTTTTTTTTTCCACATATACCTCAGCGCACCACTCGCCTTTTTTTCCCTCGTCAATTCTGTTAGTAACCTTATCCTTCATAAAACCATCCACTGACACATCAACCCCAAATATCTGGAAAAATTCATTCTTCCAAAATCCTCTCCAATGTGATATCCAATTTTTCTTTATCTAAATTATTTGATACCCTCATCTCCTTACTTTTATCAATGTTCACTTTCAACTTTCTACCTTTACACACCCTCCTAAACTTGTCCACTAACATTTGCAACTTTTCTTTAGAATCACCCATAAGCACAGTATTATCAGCAAAAAGTAACTGTCAACTCCCATTTTGTATTTGATTCCCCATAATTTAATCCCACCCCTCTGCCTGATGCCCTAGCATTTATTTTTACAAGCCCATCTATAAATATATTAAACAACTATGGTGACACATCCCTGTCTAAGACCTACTTTTACCGGGAAGTAATTTCCCTCTTTTACATACCCTAACCTGAGCCTCACTATCCTCATAAAAACTCTACAGCATTTAGTAACTTACCACCTATTCCATTTACTTGCAACATCTGCCACAGTGCTCCCCTATCCACTATCATATATGTACCTTTTCTAAATCATACATACAATGAAAACTTCCCTACCTTTATCTAAATACTGTTCACATACATGCTTCAATGTAAACACTTGATCTACACATCCCCTACCCACTCTAAAGATAGAGATATACAGAGATATATCTACAGTGGTACCTCGGGATACGAACTTAATTTGTTCCAGGATACTGGTACACATACACACAGACGCAGACGCGCACACGGATGCTAACAGACACACACACACGGGGCAAAGAAGACTGCAGACGGAGTACAGTCTAGGGGGCCAGAGACTACAAACCTCACTCAAGGAAAAAGATCTTGGGGTGAGTATAACACCAGGCACATCTCCTGAAGCGCACATCAACCAAATAACTGCCGCAGCATATGGGCGCCTGGCAAGCCTCAGAACAGCATTCTGACATCTTAATAAGGAATCGTTCAGGACCCTGTACACCGTGTATGTTAGGCCCATATTGGAGTATGCGGCACCAGTTTGGAACCCACACCTAGCCAAGCATGTAAAGAAACTAGAGAAAGTGCAAAGGTTTGCCACAAGACTAGTCGCAGAGCTAAGAGGTATATCCTACGAGGAGAGGTTAAGGGAAATCAACCTGATGACACTGGAGGACAGGAGAGATAGGGGGGACATGATAACGACTTACAAAATACTGAGAGAAATTGACAAGGTGGACAAAGACAGGATGTTCCAGAGACTGGACACAGCAACAAGGGGACACAGTTGAAGCTGAAACACAGATGAATCACAGGGATGTTAGGAAGTATTTCTTCAGCCACAGAGTAGTCAGGAAGTGGAATAGTTTGGGAAGAGATGTAGTGGAGGCAGGATCCATACATAGCTTTAAGCAGAGGTACGATAAAGCTCATGGTTCAGGGAGAGTGACCTAGTAGCGACCAGTGAAGAGGCGGGGCCAGGAGCTTGGACTCGACCCCTGCAACCTCACCTAGGTTGAGTACAACTAGGTGAGTTACACACACACAGACACACACACAGACACACACACAGACACACACACAGACACACACACACAGACACACACACACAGACACACACACAGACACACACACAGACACACACACAGACACACACACAGACACACACACAGACACACACAGACACACACAGACACACACACAGACACACACACAGACACACACACAGACACACACAGACACACACAGACACACACAGACACACACAGACACACACACACACACACACACACACAAACACACACACACCAACACACACAGACAACCCCAACACACACACACAACGACACAGACAGACCACACACACAGACCCCAACACACAAAGACACACACACAGACACACACACACACACCCCACAGACAAAAAAACACACACAGCACACACCACACGAACACAACCACAGACACACACCCAAGACAAAACCCACACGACAACACACACCAGACACACACACAAAACCACACACAGACAACACACACACCCCAAAACCCACACACACACAGCAACAGACACACCAGACACACACACAAACACACACACACGACACACACAGACACACACAGACACACACACACACAGACACACAACACAGACAACACACACAGACACACACACAGACAACAAGACACACACAGACACACACACAGACACACCCCAAGACACACAACAGACACAACCAGAACACCACGACACAACACAGACAGACACCACACCAGACACACAACAGACACAACACAGACACAAACACAACACAGACACAACACCACACACCGACACACCACACCAAAAAACCCACACAGACACACACACAGACACACCCCCCAGACACACCCCACAAAAACCACACCAAAACACAAACACCCCACACACACACACAACACACAGACAACACACACAACAGACACACACACACACACACACAACGACACGGGGGCCAGGAGTCGGACTCCCCCCGAAACCTCAACAGGGAGTCAGACACACAAAACATGGAAACACACACACACACACCAAAACAGACAAAACCCACACACACAACACAGACACACACACACACAGAACACACACAAAACCCCAACAGACAGCCCAAAGACAGACACACCACACAGACACACACACACAGAACACACACCACAGACAAACACACACAACAACACACACAAACCACACACACACAGACACACACACACACAGACACACACACACACCACACACACACACACAGACCACACACACACACACACAGACCCCCACCACACAAAACCCCCAACACACACAACACAGACACAGACACGACACACACAGACACACACACAGACACACACACAGACCACACACACACACAGCCCAAAACCCCCGACACACCCCCACACACACAGACACACACAGCACACACAGACACACACACAGAACACAGACAGACCCACACACAGACACAACACAAAAACCCACAAAAACACACACACAGACACACACACAGACAACACACACAGAACACACACACAGACACACACCACAGACACAGCAACACAGACACACAGACAGACACACACAGACACAGACCAACGCAACACAAACACGACACAACAGACAGACACACACAGACACACACCACAGACACAGACACACACACCCACAAACACACAGACACCACCACACCACTCACACAGACACACAGACACACACAGCCCACACACAACACAGACAACACACACACACACCACACACACCAGACACCACACACACACAGGAAAAAAGGGTGGAGAACTCACAAAAACGATCAAGAGGATGGGGAGCTAAACACGAGATTTAAGGGAAGTTTTACAGTAGAGACGGAAGGACTGGGGGGGGACAGACCAGTGGGGACACCAACAAGGAATACCCAACAGTTTGACGACAAATACAGATGAGGAGGGGTGAAGAAACTGCTAAGGGACATCGATACCTCAAAGGCAATGGGACCGGAAACTCCCCCGTGGCCCTTAGGGGGGAGCAGTATGTTGTGCGTACCATTTACCACAATTTAAACACACCCCGGAAACGGGGGAACTCCTGAGGTAGGGAAGACGGAAAATGTATTTCCCCATTTTCAAAAAGGAGACAGAAAAGAGGCACTAAACTACAGACCTGTGTCTCGAGTGTATAGTATGAAAAATTTATGGAGAAGATTATCAGGAGGAGATTGGTGGAGCACCTGGAACGGAACAGGAGATAAATCCCAAACCCACACGGATTCAGGAAGGCAAACCCTGTGTCAAAAACCCTTTGGATTTTTATGAAAAAAAACAGAAGACAGAGAGAGGGGTGGGTTGATTGCATCTTTTGGATGCAAGAAGGCCTTTGCACGTTCCTCACAAGAGATTAGTGCAGAAAAACTAGAA